CATGCAGCTGGCGTTTTCGATGATTTGATAAGTGACAATATAATTATTGCAAATTGATAAGCATGTGTTCGTCCGGTTCCATGGTGTAGTGGTTAGCACTCAGGGGCTTTGAATCCTGCGACCCGAGTTCAAATCTCGGTGGGACCTATCGTTTTAAATTTTTGTGAATGTGCTAGTGATGACAATGTTTCGTTTCCGAATAAAACTATTTTCAGAAACAATTTGTTGCCAAGAAAGCTCAAATTGAATCAAAACAAAAACGATAGGTTCCACCGAGATTTGAACTCGGGTCGCAGGATTCAAAGTCATGAGTGCTAACCACTACACCATGGAACCGGACGAACACATGCTTATCAATTTGCAATAATTATATTGTCACTTATCAAATCATCGAAAACGCCAGCTGCATGTCAATTCATGATGCGGAAGCTTTTCCTTATTGACACCAGGACTTTCACTCATTGAGACAGTTCGCGGACGATAAGATGATTTTTGCCTTATGAAAGGCAGGTGTTTGTCAGGTTCCATGGTGTAGCGGTTAGCACTCAGGACTTTGAATCCTGCGACCCGAGTTCAAATCTCGGTGGAACCTATCGTTTTTTGCAGTTTTATATATCTATCATTAATGAAAAAAAATTTCAAAAAAGAACGAAGTTTATAACCACCTTCTAGGACTAGAATGAGTATGATAATGACTGATTTTGCATATTTAGACTGACTACTGCAATTGTTGAATCAAAAACGTTAAAAATACATAAATAAAAATAAAATAAAATAAAATTGAAAATACAATAGTACATAAGTAACTTATTTTAAATCGGAATAGTTTTTACATATTTCGAAGGTCATGAATATTTTTTTTATTTTAGCTTATGGAGTGTTTTCATAGTTTTTGTGACCACATAATGATCATTGTAGCCTTTGGAAAAATGGATAAAAATCAAAGTTTGCACAATTCCAAAAATGATCAAAACTGTGCAAGGACATAAAATTCCAATAGAATGCCGCTACCCACAGCTCACCAACTTTGAGCCCTTATATCTCATTTACTGTGGAAGATATCAAAAAGTTGTCAACAGATAAAATGTTTGTTATAAGATCGGAAATACTTCATTAGTTGAATACTTCTTGATATCTCACACAGGGACCCAGATAAATTGGTTCGAAGTTACAAGTTTGGGGTTCACTATATTTAGATTGTCAAGGTAATAAATAGATGTAAGACTTTCTGAATGCATGCCACAAACAGATCTGATTTGCTCTCAAAAATTCTGCTCAATTATGAAGAAAATTAGTTTTCACCATGAATAAAATCATACAAAAATTCATGCTTTTGAAAAAATTTTGTCCCACTTTGCTTCAGTAAAACCTATACAATCAATACTCACTCAAAATGTCTTAATGCTCAACAAATGTTTTTTTGGTGGTTGAAGTTTTTTTTAAAAACACTGTTTTAAACACGAGCTTTAATTTTATAAAAATTCTGTAGTTGCGGTTTATGTGGAAAAAAGTGTTTTAAAGTTTGACATTATCCGAAAATTGTTTCCATGGTAATTCTTTATATTATATCGCCGGAGAAAAACCTAGAAAAACCTAGAAAATGCAGAAAGCAGGAAGAATTGAGTTCAAATTCCCTCTAAAAATAGATGTTCAATGGAGCGACTTTGCCTTTTCCTTCTCATTTGCACTAAAAGCACGCTTGTGTCAAATCGATTCCACAGCTGACGCAGGGCAGTACACTTCTTTCTATTCTTTTGTCTAATTGTTTTTTGTCTACTCGCAAAGTTTTAGAGTTAACTGGATATTATAAATGTTTAAACTAAATAATTATTAAATAATTTTTTTTGTCTGATTTCTGGAAAAAAATTTTGAATTTTTATTTTGCTTCTCGATAATTGTGAATCGTTATATTTGGTTTCAGCTTCGTTTTTGAAATTGTTTCTGTCTGTTTTCCTCAAGCTCTTTATTCACTCGACCAACGCCAACATGGACATTGTGCCTCTTTTCCCGCCAGAGTTCGAATGGCCGGAAAATGTGATAACCAAAATTTTTCTCCATCTGCCACTAGAATTGCTGTAAGTTTCAGGTTTTCTAAAAGTTTTGTATTTTCAATTTCAGAATCCGACTGATTCTGCAATTTCCCGAGTACAGAGCTCTGTTCTCCGCTCATCAAATACATGTCGACGCGCTAAAATGGAGAATTTATAACTACTGCTATATAAGATTAAAAAGAGGAGAAGAGACCGTTATGCTTCACATCAAAGGGGATCTACGCAAAAGAAGAAGAACTCCACGAATCATTACGATGACATCCATTGAATTTGAAAAGTATGGGTTTTATCGGGATACAACTCAATTGGATATGTGCGTAGATGAGGACAACTTGGATTCATCCAACATGGAGCTTTTAAAACATTTGAGTGAAATGTTGCTTCCTTCACTCAACGTGGCCAACTTCGATCTGAGATTCTACCCAATTGATGCTAGAGTTAGTTTTGTACACTGCTTCATTTTCAAAATGATTCGAAGATTTCGGATTCTCGAGTTTTTTCAACTCCGTCCTAAAGAGTGTGAAACCAACGCTGACCACAACCTCAGAGCAAGAAGACTTATTTTGCAGTATAAATATATGCAAAATGAAATTGAAGTCGACCATCTCAAAGTCCATTTCACGGAGATGCCTCTTTTTACTGAGATTCCACTTCGAAAGGGTTTGGATTCGCGATTCATGAGCCGTTTGTATCCTTTGAGAACAAGAAACATGACAATCTGGGATACGGAATTCATAAATCTTCGCTCGCTTTTGCAAATGGAATGTGAAAATCTTACAGTTAGTCGAGAAGAAATGAGGGGATCAGATATTGGTGCATTGATGAAAGCATGGATGAATGGAGGACTTAGAAAATTGAAAACATTCTATTGTTACAGTAGAGAATTTCAAATTGATCCAGAAGGATTCCAAGGAATACCAGCCAAACCAACGTGAGTTTTGCATAGTACCAATTTTAATAAATGATAGTTTTACCCTTTTTCAGTTCCACACCTCCTCCGCCGATGTTTCCACACCCTGAATATTGGACCCGGTACGCACTAGAAATTATTCGTATTGAGGATGGTAGAAGTGCAAATGTCCTTTGGTATGAGGATGAGTTCTGGTTTTACATCATTGAAGGAAACTAAATTGGCTTAAGCATTTTCAATTTATTTTGCTCTGACACACGTGATTCTGAAAAAGTGTCACTAGACGAGCTGTCTCATCAATTACCATGTTGCCTCTATTTCACCGCCATTCGATTTTCGTGGTGACTCTAAAATATATTTAACCTATTTCGAATGAACATCAGCAAAATGTTTTTCTAGTTTACAGATTTTTTAAATATCTCTTGATGAAATTGAAACAATTTAATAACATTGGTCTTCAAAAATAAGTCCCACCTTCTTTTTTCTTACTTATAATTTTATCCTGAAAAACTTACAATTTCTCATCTCAATTTTTATTGATGAAAATAGTTAACTTTTTCTTTTGAGCTTTGTATGTTAGGAAAGTGTTCAATGCCATGAAAAATACTTGCCAACGTTCCACTTTCTCATTCGGTGCTTTTGTTTTTGAATATTGTATATTAACCAATTTATAGTCCAATAAAAATTTTTTATTTGAGTTCTTTGTTAAAGGTGGGGGGACATGAAAAAAAATATGTTCTCGAAATTTCGTTTAAATATGCCTCTCGAGGAGTTGAACGTGTGGGACGAGGATTGAGGGTGCGGCGCCGCTACCGACTGAGCTACACGGGCAAAGAGAAAGCGGTCACCCGTTTGCATACATAAAGGCGAGGACGACAGCTGTACGCAGAGTGACATTAAGCGTTGTACACCGTTACGGTAGAATGCATACTCTGGCCCCAAAAATCCCCCGTAAAATCTCCTGTCCCCCTACCTTTAAGTTATATGATGTTTTTCCATAATGATGTAATATACCTTCTTGTTTATACACAACGCGAGAGATGAAAAGATAAGAGGGGAAGAGGCCCTATTACTATACGGCACCTGGAATTTTCCCATAAGGCTGACCTACGCGTCACGATGCAATACGCAACGCATCGCACCCAAAAAATCAATAACACATGGTAACTCATCATTCTTCCTTTTTTCTTTTACTAATCTTGAGTCTCTCAGATCCCTTCCTTCTCCAAAATGGATGCTATGGATTTGTTCGGAGGATTGAGCAGCGATGAAGAAGAGGAGAACTACCCACCAACTCCAAAAGACAGCACTTTGACTTTGATGGCTGAAATGGAAATGAGGTAAGTTTTTTTTCCAACTAATAAGAGAACCTCAACACCTTGTTAACTTAGATTTTGATGAATATATTAAGAACATGTGAGAATAGTCTACCTAGACACCAATAGAATCCGTTCGCCAGGTTTAGCCAAGTTATATCAATACCAAAAACCGCAAACTCAATGTAACACATAGATTTAACATTTTTTCTTAACTTCTAGAACGTTTCAGAACATGAAAGTTGTTTTCTTATACTGAGAAGTGAATGGCACTTTCACACATTTTCCAGATCCATTCGAAAATTGAAAAAAACGTTTTTTGAAAAATTTGGAATGTAAGAAGTATGAAAAATTATTTAATTCGAAGTATAACCAAACAAGTGTTATGTTCTGAAACGTCCTAGAAATTTTGAAAATTGTCTTCACGGACTGCTACTTTGCATTGAAAACGTACTGAAATTACTGAAATTGATATAACTTGACTGCTACAAATCAGCGGATTTTAAAATTTTCAGAGATGCTATTCTTAACCTATTCTGAAATTTTCATCAAAATATGTGATTGAAAGGTGTTGAGATGCCCGAATAAGTTTTCAGAAATTTCGACACTAAAACTGATTTATTTTTTAAGTGATGAAGACGGAGATGAGCCAATGGAGGCCAACGATACCGACAAAACTACTAGTGGCAGCTCTCCTGATCAGATGGTTCCGGCAACGTTTAGTGACAAGCCGACTACTTCAGCTCAAGTCAAGTTTTTCCTTTCAAGCGATGAAGATTCTATGGACATGCCGGATGTTAAGCAAATGGTCAAAGACAGCATATCCCGATTGGAGCAAGAAACAAAAAGAAAACTGATGGAAGCAGTGGAAGCAACAAAGCCCATTACCTGTATGGAACCACTCGTCAAGAAGCCAAAGGTCGAGATCGAAGACTTGATGATCGAACAGTTGCCCACTGTGCCAGAACCAATGCCAATGACTAGTGACGTTGAGAGTGTGCCCCAGGGAAAGATGGATAAGAAAGATATTGAATCGGTGAGAATCAAGAGTGCCGTGAAACAAGAAGAAGAAAAAGAAGAAGATAATACCGCTGGCAAACTGGATCATGATGAAAAGGAACGACTTAAAATGGAGGTGCTTCTCAAAAACTTCTCCAAAGAGCAATTCGATCGCTATGAAGTATTCAGACAGTTAGTTTAAAAACATGAAAATCATTATGAGCAAATTTGCCAATTTTCAGATCGAAATTTCAAAGAACCATGATCAGAAGACTAATGAAGAAGTTCACCAACAATGCTCCTTTCCCCGAGGGTGCAGTCATTGCAGTAGCTAGTTTGGCCAAGATGGTTGTGGGGGATATTGTTGAAGAAGCACTTGATATTCGTGATGCCAAAGAAGATGAAGCAGAACAACCACTTCAGCCGCATCACATTCGTCAGGCGTACTACAAATTGGCTCGTGAAGGAACAATTCATTTTTAACCAGCCAGATTACTATCCAATCGCTTTTTACATTTCCTGCTTCTGATCTCTGAAAAATCAATCATTTTCTGGAAATGTTAGTTTCAGACTTTTTAAAACTTCCTCTATATCAATTTTATTTTCATTTGCTTTTCTGTCTTATCAATCTTCCCTACTTACATGATACTTTTTATGCAATTCAACACAAATTTTTTACCTCTGATAAATGTTTTAAAATTTGTAGTTTCTCTTTGGAAGTTTAAAAAAGCAGGCGGTAACAAACATATCTCGAAGTATAGGAAAAAAACCGTGATCAATTTTTGAGAATGTTCATTTATTATAAACATTATAAAAAAAGGTTAAAACACACTATAATTGGCTGAAATTCAATTTCCAACCATAGAGTCGAGTTTACTCGATGTTAATCCACGGATATGCGTTTTCATCAGCATTTGTTGGTTATCTCGGTCCTTAAATCTTTTTTAATGCTGAGAATTTTTGGTTACTGACTTATTCGGCCCTTCCAAAATGTTGCTTTCAAATAATGACAAAACATTTTTTGTAGAAAAGAATTCAAAAATGAAATTCACGTTTTTCTAAAATCCTTGTGAAAAATTACTGAAAATCCTCAACGATTCAAACTACAACAGAACTTTATTTTTAAGACAATGACTGGAATAAAAATGGAGAAACAAAAATCCGAAAACGCTGAAATCTAAGAATTGAAGGAAGAAAGAAATACTAACTCTGATCAAACTAATTGACGAGAGACAAAAACGATTTTTTTTAACATTTCAAAACGATACTGCTTTATTAATTTCTTCTCACTGAAGCTGAAAAAGTTGATAAGATAAAAATCACATTTTCCTGTTTTTTTCGGAGAAATGCTACTATGGATTCATGTTACCTTCGATCTTGACTGAAAATTTTTTAAACTGCATTTTTCCATCAAAGACTTCTCGAAACCTGAAACATCTGTGAATAACTTCTCTATGTCCAATGATCCCTTATTCATACATCAATCTCACTAACTCTCACAAACTTACAAAATGACTAACTAAACATTAAGCCTCTGAAACCTCTTAAAATTTCGTGAAGAATATCCCAAACAAGGTTTCACATTATAACTTTTTATTATTTTACAAAAAATGAAAAAAAGGAACATGATACATTTCAAAACCAGTAGAACAAACTTGAAAGGCACATGATACATTCAAAGTGTTATGAAAATAAAGATGAGAAAAAATACAAAATAGAACCGATATTTGACAAGTACATTGAAAAAGAATAGGGAACAAAAGTTGAAAGGAGAGACAAAAAAGATGAATGGGAAAAGAGGAGAGAGAGAGAGAGAGAGAGAGAGAGAGAAAAAATGAAATGAAGAACCTTAAATATCGCGGTTTCTCGCGATTTATACTAAACCTTGAAAAATCAACTTACCATAAACTACGCTGAATAACTTATTGCGCAAGTTAATGTGAAAAAAGTTACGATACAAATTCACAATATAACAACAAAATAATCTTACACTTTTTTACGATGCATGAGCCCTAGAGCCCATGCATCTTTACGATGCATGAGCCCTAGAGTCCCATGCTGTGTAGTTACAACTACACGGTATATAAACTAAGGGGTACGTATCGTACCCCCACATTCCGTTAAATGATGTAACGCTTAGTTACACATATAACGGTTCTCTGGAGCTTCCTCCCACCCTTCAAAAATGAGAATATTCATTTTCCATGGTTCACACTTACTCGGAATAAGTAGTACCAATGGTACTACTTACTCGGAATAAGTAGTACCAATTCGATACTACTTACTCGGAATAAGTAGTACCAATTCGATACTACTTACTCGGAATAAGTAGTACCAATGGTACTACTTACTCGGAATAAGTAGTACCAATTCGATACTACTCACTCGGAATAAGTAGTACCAATATGGTACTAATTACTCGGAATAAGTAGTACCAATGGTACTACTCACTCGGAATAAGTAGTACCAATGGTACTACTTACTCGGAATAAGTAGTACCAATTCGATACTACTCACTCGGAATAAGTAGTACCAATATGGTACTAATTACTCGGAATAAGTAGTACCAATGGTACTACTCACTCGGAATAAGTAGTACCAATATGGTACTAATTACTCGGAATAAGTAGTACCATTATGGTACTAATTACTCGGAATAAGTAGTACCAATTCGATACTACTTACTCGGAATAAGTAGTACCAATGGTACTACTTACTCGGAATAAGTAGTACCAATTCGATACTACTCACTCGGAATAAGTAGTACCAATATGGTACTAATTACTCGGAATAAGTAGTACCAATTCGATACTACTCACTCGGAATAAGTAGTACCAATATGGTACTAATTACTCGGAATAAGTAGTACCAATGGTACTACTCACTCGGAATAAGTAGTACCAATATGGTACTAATTACTCGGAATAAGTAGTACCAATGGTACTACTCACTCGGAATAAGTAGTACCAATGGTACTACTCACTCGGAATAAGTAGTACCAATCTGGTACTACATACTCGGAATAAGTAGTACCAATATGGTACTAATTACTCGGAATAAGTAGTACCAATGGTACTACTCACTCGGAATAAGTAGTACCAATATGGTACTAATTACTCGGAATAAGTAGTACCATTATGGTACTAATTACTCGGAATAAGTAGTACCAATTCGATACTACTTACTCGGAATAAGTAGTACCAATGGTACTACTTACTCGGAATAAGTAGTACCAATTCGATACTACTCACTCGGAATAAGTAGTACCAATATGGTACTAATTACTCGGAATAAGTAGTACCAATTCGATACTACTCACTCGGAATAAGTAGTACCAATGGTACTACTCACTCGGAATAAGTAGTACCAATATGGTACTAATTACTCGGAATAAGTAGTACCAATGGTACTACTCACTCGGAATAAGTAGTACCAATGGTACTACTCACTCGGAATAAGTAGTACCAATCTGGTACTACATACTCGGAATAAATAGTACCAATCTGGTACTACTTACTCGGAATAAGTAGTACCAATTCGATACTACTCACTCGGAATAAGTAGTACCAATCTGGTACTACTCACTCGGAATAAGCAGTACCAATCTGGTACTACATACTCGGAATAAGTAGTACCAACGGTACTACCTAAACCAGCAAGTGTGAACCATGGAACAGTGAATTCATCACTTTCCATGGGTGGGAGGAGCCCCGGTAGGTGACTTAGTCACTCTATTAAGTAGCTAGCTACTCACACAGAAACTTAGGGAGAGAACTCAATCTCTATCCCTTTTAATATGAAGGTTGTCGATCGAGCACTTAAGCTCGATCGACTACCTAGTAGCACAGCTACTCACACAGAAAGTGAGGGAAATAAGCCCCTTTTAATATGAAGGTCGTCGATCGAGCACTTAAGCTCGATCAACAACTACTGAATAACTAAATAACTAACGACGTCAACGATTGTAGAATTCGAAGCGAGAAATATCTCAATCGCTCTAAATTTATTCTACAACTACGTCGTATACCACACATAGTGTGGAATAGTTTTTGAAATGACACTATAAAATAATAGCTGTCAAGCCAAAATTTTTATATCAAATGGCAGTTTGTTAGACAAACCACCATTTGATATCGTCATTTCAACCTTCTTATCTCGTGTCATACCAAAGATACTCGAAGAATGCCTACTGGTAAAATGTCTGAAACATTTTAACAGATTTTTTCAACATGTCAGATTTGAGTATCTCTTGTAAACAAAAGATATTAAGGGTTGAAGCGACAGTTTCCCAGTATACACATATATGTACACATACACAGTTACTGTGCCGGGAAATCATAGTGTCCTCCTCCTCCTTGTGTCGCCCTGCGGTGCGTCCTGCCGTATAATCCGGAATCTGAAATAGGGGAATAATATCCTAAAACAGAATCGTTGTTCTCAGTAGCTGTTATGATACTGGTACGAAAAAACTGGAGCGGTAGAAAAGAAACGCTGGTGGCCATGACTAGAAGTCCAATAACGAAAACTCTGCATTTTCAGATGTTTTCTTTTTTCCACTATATTATGTCGATTTTTCTGTTATTTTCCAACAGGATAGTTGGAAAAACACATTTTCAAAAAGAAAAATCGACATAAAGCGCGAGAATCAAGAAAATAAATTCTGATGATAAATATATCTTCAGATAATGACCGTTTCTGTTATGGCACTTTTGGCCATGGTCACCGGTGTTCCTCTACAACATCTCCAATTCTTTTACACCAGTATAGACATTCTTTGATTGAATGAAAACCACTCAATCAAAGAATGCTCTTAAACGTCTAAGAAAGAAGATGACAAGCTGGTGATGACATGGTATGCAGGGAGCACCGTATCTTTTCTAGTAGATCAGCATTTAACACTGTCACATTTACCCAACTAAGTTTCTATCGGAGGTTTTCAACATATTACCGTAAAACCTGTAATAGAAGGGCCACTAACTTTAAATTTAAGCCGATTCATCTCGGTTCCTGTCAAAGATATAAAAAGTTGTTAACTGATAAAATATTGGTGATATTATGATAAACATTTTATCAGTTGACACATTTTTAATATCTCGCATGGGTATCGAGATAATGGAGCTCAAATTGGTAGTGTGGGGGCCGTTCTATTACAGGTTTTAGGATATCCTTAAAACCTGTTACAGAACTGCCCTCTAACATTTAAATCCGAGCCGATTTATCTCGGTTCCTGTCAAAGATATGAAAAATTTGCTAACTGATAAAATATTGGTGATATTATGATAAACATTTTATCAGTTGACACATTTTTGATATCTTGCATAAAAGCCAAGAAAATTCAGCTCAAACTCGACAGTGTGAGGGCCCTTCTATTACAGGTTTTACGGTATCCCTGAAACCTGTAATAGAAGGGCCCTTAACTTTTCAGTTAGAGCAATTTATATCTGTTCCTGTCAAAGATATGAAAAAAATATCAACTGATAAAA